ATCTATGATGGTGTCATGGCTCTGTAAGGCGCGCGCAGTATGCACGGGACTGGTTCTGGTCGGGTGGCGAGCTACCCTTGCTCTTCGTCTACAGACCCGCACTTACGGTGGCCTGTGGTCGGCCGATCTCCGACGCCCAGAGTGTCTCCCGCGACGGCTGGGGCGTGAGGAAGTTCGTGCCCTCACGCGCTCCGCTTTCTCCTTGGCAAGCATAACTGCTTCGCAGAATGATGCGACTGCATCCCAATCCCCCTCGCTCCATGGCCTGAACCAGAGCCGAACGCGAGAGGTCACCGTTTCCTACATCCCTGAGAACACGGCGGTGCTCAGCCCATGCAAGGTACACCGCCACGATATGCTCCACCGTGTTCTCCGGGCGGTCCTCGCATTGATGGCCTCTCTAAAGCCACTTTTAAAGAGGGGACTTTCCGCTGCAATGACAGCGAGCCCAGCCCTCGGTTACCTAAAGGAGTGTTTCGCTGTGTAAGTGAGGTTACCGGAGGCCCAATTACCCCTCCCTCAGCCCCCCCAATCCCTGACAATCCTCAAATTACCAATTCCCAAAAGACCGGTAACGCACTTCTAGCACTTCTGGTGTTACAGGTGTCCATGGGCGGCGCAGATTGCTTACCATCAGGTGATCCGTCTGCTCGTTTACCGGCTTATGCCATAAAAAAACAGCAAACTATCATAGTGAATTTGGCCTTGACGGTCTAAAATGAAAAGGACTAATATTATTTTTTAGCTATGTGCATTTAGCTAGTTTTTTTGATATACATATAAAAAATACGAATTCAAGTAAACTGAAAATATTTTATTCGTGGTTTTATCTCCTTAGACTGCTGTCAACCTCTTTGCATACCTTAATATTAATACCATAGTATAAAAAAAATCTATGACACATTGACTTTGTAAACTCACTTGTCACACAAATCTCAGATGACTTAAGAAATGTAGAGGTATACTAATAATATAAATTTGTATGTGCTTGTTTGTTTGTTTGTCCGTATTTCACGACAGAACGGAGTCAGGAAGGTTTTTGATTTGAGATAGTTGAAAAGATGGAGAGTATCATAGGCTACTTTTTGTCTTTTTCTAACCCCCTTCCACTTCCGTGAAACAGAGGTGAAAGTTTGTATGGGGTATTTTGCAATTTTCAATGTGGAAAGCTAACAATTGGTATGCGGGTTATTTGTGACCAGCATAGAATCGTGCATCATTTCATTTTTTTATTGTAAATCCTTCCCTCACCCCATTAAAAGAACGCGAGAGAAGCCGCAGACAGAGGCTAGTCTATGAATAAATTGTATTCAGTCAATTGAATTCGTATTTTGTCTTTAAAATCTCTGATGCAGCTGAATACTAATATTATTCCTTGAAAACCCACAGAACTTCATTTTTATATGTTGATGCCAAAATATATTATGGAAGTAGGACGCCATAACAATTACAAATCATCAGGTTGGTTACCATAGTAATGTTACCTGTCAGATATCCGTTTTCAGGTTTCAGATAAATCGTAATAAATAATTTGAACTTTATGCAGCGGTAATAAATTACAAATTGACTCTCCATTTTATTTAGAAAACGTTTGTATGGGAAATAGAAAAATGCTGTTTTGAGGATTTTCCCGGCAATTATTCGAATTTTTCTTACCTTTTAAACCTTCCCTAGACCTCCACGAATAATTCAAGACCAAGATAAGATAAATCCGTTCAGCCGTTCTCGAGTTTTAGCGAGACTAACGAACAGCAATTGATTTTTATATATATAGATGTAGTGATTAAATTAAATATTGTATTATTATGTTTTCGGCTTACTCACGTTGTAATTCGACGAGGAACTCGACAGTCGCCGCGTCGCGTGTCGCGAAATGCTGCTCATGGATATGAGCCTCTAGCATGGCTTGAAACTAGTCGAGTTCTTCGTCGAATTAGGTACAACGTGAGTAACCCGAAAACATTTTCTATTTCTATTAGATTTCGAGATTGATTTATGATAGCATAAGTTTAAACCTTCGTGGATTTTGGTTGCTATTTTAAATGAATAATCCTGTAATTATTGTAAATACAATAAATAAATAAAAAAAAACATAATAATTTATTTAGTATGTCTCACGAAAGTTACAATATAAATATTGCATTTTAACCTTTCTTTCTTTTTGTCGCATAGATGCCAATCATTGACTACCGTTTGTACCCGACCATTTACAGCATCTTATTCGAATGTATAGACATTTTTGATGGCTAAATAAACCGAAACAAGAGCTACTTATTCTACAGTTACCACAAAACTTAAAGCATTTTGTGAAAGTTTCTTATATTTTAAGTATAATAATAATAATGTTGTTCCAGTGATATGGAGCTGCCAGACGCGTGGGAGATGCGCAAGGACACAGAGAAGTACACGAAAGACTTCGGCGCGCCCGGCGTCGAGGTGCACTGCATTTATGGGTACAACATCAGTACTGTTGAGAGGTAAGCCTACTGACTATTATTATAAATATTGAAAGAAAAGTAGAGGTGCCTATTATCGGTGCATATTTCTTTGTGTAACCCTCACAGCGAGGTTTTGTTCCATGAATTGGGTAGTTTCCAGGGTATCAAAATTAAAAATCTAATTAGTCCGTCAGTTAGATAATGAAAAAATATTAGACGCGTATTTTTTTATTTTCTCGTTTTACGTTGCAATACTTAGATAACATGACGCTAAGTTTAAGAATAGGAGGTGGTTACGTCATAACGTGCTACAAAATGTGACACGCTGTGACGTCACACGATATTTCAAATTAATATATCGTCGAAAGTATTTAATTTTGTGAGAAAAGAAAAAATACGTGTCTAATGTTTTAAATTAATCTACCAGACGGACATTGAAATAAAATTTAGGAAACTACCGTATTATGCTCGGTAGTTATTCTTTGTAAGATAGATATGTTGTGTCTCGAAACTGATCAATATTCCAGAAATTGTCAGACGTAATGAGGAGTCCGCATTTATTTGTGTCTCATGTATAATTGTATAGATCTTTTGCAGGCCCCAAATAGTCTATATATATAAAAGAAAGTCGTGTTAGTTACACTATTTATAACTCAAGAACGGCTATATCGATTTGGATGAAAATTGGTGAGGATGTAGCTTAGAACCAGGAGACGGACATAGGATACTTTTTACCCAATACTTATTTTTTACTTTTAACCAAAAATCAAGAACGGGTACGGGAAATATCGGGATTGCGTACGAAGTCGCGGGCAGAAGCTAGTTTTTAATAAAGGCAGGTAGAGATGTTCGATGATTCGATCTATGTCCACCCTCTATACCTACTTTTTGTCATATTTTCCTATACACTTTCTATCTTTCAATATAAAACATAGGCCTTAGTACGAGTTTCTTTTACGTTTAAAGTAATCGTAACGAGTACGCGTTCGGCGCTGTGATTGGCTGGCACCAATGAACAAACCAATCAGAGCACCGAACGCGGTCTCGTTTCGATAACTTCAAACGAAAAAGAAACTTGTAATAATCTCATATCTTAAAATCAACTTTTTTCTTTCCAGACTAGTATATAAACCAGGCACGTGGCTCGATGGGTACCCGACTCTCGCAATGGGTGACGGGGACGGCACAGTCAACCTCCGCTCACTGAACGCCTGCGAACATTGGCGCAAGAAGAGGTTCCGTAATGGAAACTCCGTAAAATCCCTCGCACTACCAGACGCTGAGCATTTGAAGATATTACACGATAAACGAGTGCTGGATTATATTCAGTTGGTTATGAAGAACTGATTGGTTTAATGTGAGTGTGAATGGAGTTTGTGGCAGTCGCGGATTGTAACTAAGGGGATTTAGGTAGGAAAGTAATCAAACTACACCATCTGTTATGGATTTTCAACCTTGTTTGTTTAGTAATGGAGTTTAAAATCTAATGTCGATAGTGTAGTAGGTACTATTCGTCCAATCACTCACTATAACCGTCAAAAAATTATTGTCCAATGGTTTTAGACTAAGAAATTCTCTGTTGAATAGACAAGACCTCACGCGACATAAGTCCCTACTGGTAGCCCTCATTGGAGTACATTGACTTTCCTACTGACGTCGACTTGCCTATCATCACGGTGCAAAATTTTTAATAAAAATCAAGTAGAATAGTCTCCATTTTATAGTTTAAAATTAAATAAAGGGTGCTTCTTACCTACGTTGCTAGAATCCGCCTCTGCTATGTAGGTTATTGTATGATCGAAGATATTCTTCGTATCAACAAAGTATGGGTGCTTAATTTATGGAGAATTTGGTTCGACATATTGACTTTTGTTATAAGAAAGTCGTGGAATTAATGAAGATTTCAATAGAGAGAGTAAAAATGAAAGATATGATATGATACACGAATGGTTTCGTCGTGTGAGTGAGGTTACCGGAGGCCCAATTACCCTCCCCTTCCCCAATCTCCCCAATCCCTGAATCCCCAACGATCCTCAAACTCCTAATCCCCAAAAGACCGGTAACGCACTTGTAATACCTCTGGTGTTCCAGGTGTCCATGGGCGACGCCGATTGCTTACCATCAGGTGATCCGTCTGTACGTTTACCGGCTTATCCTATAAAAAACATATATTTTACGTACCTACTTAAAATAATAATTCTTTCACAAATTACGTTTAAAAAGCGACTTCAAAGCGCGGGTGCTCTTTTTTGGTGGTCTGTTAATTAACCAGAGAGAACACATTGTGTCTCGCGTTGATTGACGCTCCGACATACTACTATACTAAAACCTTCTCTTAACTGCCTCGTTAGCCGAGTGGTCGCAAGTGCGATTGCCGGGCAAGAGGTCTCGGGTTCGATTCCCGGGTCGGGCAAAATATTACTAAGGTTTTAAAAAAAAACTCAGTAGTAGCACGGAGTCTGGATTGTGCCCAGTATATGGCAATAGGCTCACCCCCTATTACATGGGACTCATAACATAAATAGTGAAAAGTGGGTGTTCCTTCTTTGTGCACCTCTGCCCACCAGATCCAGATAAAAGGCGTGATGTTATGTTATGCTTCTCTTAAGTGTAACACTTTTCAGAAACCGCATCAAAATCGGTTTAACCTATCGCGAAATAATCGCGCAAAGATACATACATAACCTACACACGGGTCAAACTGAAACTCCTTTTTTTAAGTCGGTTAAAAATAGTATCTACTTTTTTTATTTGTTAAGTGTGTGTGTCATTAGCATTTACAAATCGTCTTCCTATTAATATATTTTATTTTAAAACGGACTTAATATAATTTGGGAAGGTCCAATCTTATCATAATTTCTCTATTGAACATTCTTCAAAATTAGAACTAAACTCTCCATGAAAAATGTTGAAATGTTGTGCGTATGTTAAGTTTACATAATTTTAAGGAGAAACACACTCGATATTAATAATAACAGTTGTTAATTTCATAATTATACTCTACAATCAGTAGGTATTATTTTAAAGTTAAATGATTCGGGGATCTTCGTCTTTTTAGAGAACAAGAGCAATTTGCCAAATTTCATCTCATTTTAGAACTGCCACCGACACCCATCCACCTAAATTTTTGCTTTTATTATACCAGATATATCTTAGCAGCTCATGCATCAAGACGAGATTACCGAACCATGCAATTTTGATAAAAAAACATACCTCTAATATTTAAATATGTATAAATACCATCTACTGACCTCTTGCCAGTTACCTGTATCGCTTTAAACAGAGCTAAATATTTATTTACTTAACAGAATAAATAATAAACCATGTTGTACTCACAGAAATATATTTATTAAATCATTCTAGATCTAAGCTCTTATCTTAAGTAGAAAATTGAACCTTATGATGTAGTCGTAAGGTTGACAAAGGAATATTCCTTTTGTTCTCATGCCTCAGTATATTAGCCAAGCTGTTACGGCTGTGATACTCTTTAACATTAAAATTGTATTTATTTATATACCATGACAAGAATAATTTGCCTTTTGTATCGTTTTTATTACCATTATTTTTCGTTTATACGTAAACTACATTTGATTAAGATGTTTTTTAGCTAACTCACGTAACTGTTTGACGTGGAACTCTATTAGTTTCAACCCATGTTTTTTTTAAGGGGGGAAAATCATCGAATGACTTCTCCTGCCTGGGTGAGGCGGGAGAGAGTGTCAAGACTCTTACTGACTACAAACCACCCCGTTCCTTCTCCTGCACGTCGAGCCGGAGCCCCGGTTACCCGTTAGGTTCTCCGCGACTCCGAATCGGCATCGGCCCTGTTGGGCCCCATCCGTGGTGGTCTGACGGCGCTTTGAGTCGCGCGCGGTACGCTCAGGTATGGTTCTGGTCGGACGGCGAGCCACCCATGTTCGCCGTCCGCAGGCCCGCGTTCAACCCATGTTAGGGGATCACATTAATGAGCGGCATTGTACGAAGTTCGTTGCGCCGTGTGTCGCGCTATGCCGCATAAGTCGAGTTCCTCATCAAACAGTTACGTGAATACACCGAAAAATATAATAATTAATTTATTATATCTCACGAAAGATATAATACAAATTAATATGAAATACATTTATTTTGTTTAAGAACAATAACTGTCGCCTTAGATGCAGCTCATAACTAGTCATCTAAGATCATTGTCACCTAGTTTCATGACAATTTTCAAATAATTTTGTATTTATTTTTTTAAATCGCATTTTAATTGCATAATGTACTTCATAATGATTCCGATGTTAATAAAGAAGAAACTCTTGAAGATCTTAAAAAAATATTTTATTTTGTCAGTAAGTGTAATTTTTCTTTTTGTTTTTTATTACAGTGTAAAAACGCATACTTTTTTTTAATAACGACTTTATTAACTCGTTAAGAAATGTAATGAATAATGAATTATTTCTCATGAATCACTCTATGAATGATATTTTAGATAATAAAGAAAATGTCCTCCAATCATATAAAGTGGTATTGTTAAAAGAAAATAAACAATAAACCCAAATAAATATTTATTTCATTTTGTACCTCAAACCGGTTGGTATCACTAACAGTCATAATTCCAAGCCATTCTCGCGCCTTCTGGAAAATTGAGAACAAAAAAGAAATGAAAATGTGAAAATAATTAATTTTGAACTTTATACCAATAGAGGTAAGGTCCTAAGTACCTGTGTGCAAAATATAAGCGGAGTATTCATGTTAATTACTAAAGGAAAATACATTTTGGGCAAATAAAACACAGACTTCAGTAATAAACATGTATTTTCGACTCTGCATTTCATGAAACCGCCGTATTCATTACATTTTCGTCAACATTGTAGGTTCACACTTGTGCAAATACAAATACAGAAACGGTATTATAAGACCCAAAAAAAACCAGTGTTTTACAACAATTGAAGTCCTATATCCATGAGCGCCACTAGAGGTACTTTCAGGGATCTAATTCTACCATATACGAATGTAAATCAAGTAAAAACCACCTCTCTTTTAAGGTATATTATAATTTGAGCTTTTAGTCCAACTCTAAATTCTTCACTAATAGCAAATCTTATTCGATAGAATTCGTGTTTAGATATTTGTAAATGGGCCCAACCCACTTCATCCGAGGTCATTCCCACCCTGTCCACTAATCAGCAAAAATCTTTCTATAGAGGGTGTGTTAAAATGGGTGTGCGAAAATTTCGTTGTTTTTGGCTACGACCAATAACAACGAATATCTTAATTTTCGCTTTTGATTTTGTTGAAACAAGAACTTGTGGGTGATGTTAAATGACGACAAACCGTTGGTTTAAAGCGTTTATTATATCCCACAATCATAAGCTTTACAGCAAAGTATGGTACAGGCAGATAATAGAAGAAGTAGACACGAGTAAAGAAATAAGAACAGATACTAGAAGAAATTCGCGAACTAATAAAATATAATATGGGGTATTAGCGGATAGGCGGGAGCGAAATTGAGCGTGCATTCGCCGTCGTAGCTAGCTCGGCACTGCCGCCCGCGACCGAGCGATAGCGGGTCGCCGGCGCGCGCGACGTCGGGGATTGTGCGGGAGCAGGCGGCGAGGTAAGCAACCGATGCGCTTGATTAGAGTGCACCCCTTTATGCGACCAAAGTATGTGCATCTTTTGATCTCGGCGTTGCCACAAACTATTACTATTTTATTTATTTCTCTTCTGCCTGTATGATGTAAGAGCCCGCATTTGCACTATGATTATTGTATCAACTTAATGATAAGTAAATGTGATTTAAACCATTATTGTACTGACAAGACCTTATTTGCTAGAAGCTCCAACTACTGGGCGCAAAAAGGTAACTTCAGATAGCAATATTAACTTTAACAGTTTGTAGTGCACAAGTATGAACTCACTACATTCCGCTGCGACATATACACATACAAATGAACGGCTTTTAATAGAGTATACCTAACCAGCCCCATTGTAAAGCTTAATACATAATACTAGAGTAAAAGCGGCTGACTTGGTCTGTTCGCACTGCATTTCTTCATTATCCCTTCAAGGCTTTTATGTAGGTATAGTAATTTATTACCAGTCACTAGATTTTCTATTAATAACAAACTACAACTGACAATTTTGAAACCCAAAACGTCGAAAGACTAGGGACATTAAACCCGGTCAAAAACAGTCAGCCGCTACTTCCCAAGAGCAAACAAACAGATCAGAGATCAATGAAGACTACGGTATTTTCACCAATTGGCGCCAATGTAGCATTTAGTCTATTTGTCCAATCGCTGTAGCTGTCAAAAATTTAATGTCCAAACTAGCTAATTTTCTATTGGACAAATAGACATCAATTTAAATTAGCGCCATCTAGTTAGCAAAAATGGTAACCTTCCTTTGTTCACCCTTAGAAATAATTGTGAACAACTTTATTAAACTCATCGCAAGACTTAACTATCAACCACGTAATCAGATTCAATCAATCTCACTTCTTTCATTAATACGAAGATAATTAAAATAATAACACTGCAAACAATATGAACAACGAAAGGACTATATTTAATATGTATTATATTTATATACAATAGATATTTACAAAGTGTAGCCTTATAAATTGAATCTTTTAACAGAACTTAGAAGAAATGTATCTGATTAGTACGTAGTTATTTCTACCGTAAAAAATTAAAATAAGACAAGATAATTAGAAAGCCCTATCAACTTTAGGCTAATTTTGTTAATTTAGTGGTCAAATTGTAAACAAATGTATTTACTGTCTCCGGCTATATTATCAGCAAGCACTTGCATACAATAAGAAGGCTTCATAGTCTATAAATAATTCAAGGTGACAGCTTTATAAATTATCACCCTTCGCAACACTTATTTGGAGATGATTTTCAATAGTACACAAACAGTTGCGCTAAAAGATCCAATCTAATCGGCAATAAAACGAAAACTAAACTTAACTATAAAAGTACAGTCAGTACAAAAAGTCGGTCACATTGTAACCAAACACTGAGACATACAATTTGG